GATGTTCCTGGAGCAAATCAGCACAGCAGCAAAGGACAGGCGAAAGCAGCAGCGTGGAAGCGCTCCGGTCCCTCCGTGGTATCCCCGGGGTGAAAGCAGGCCTCTGCAACAGCAGAACCAGGACAGGTGGAAAGCATGCCCCAGCCGTGGTAAAATCCTCCTCCGCACAGCAGCACACGCCCGGTGGAAACAGGCCAAGCCCGAAGCGTGGATCCACTCCGTCTCTCCGCGACGACTCCGGGGTAAAAACCTCTCCAGTACAGCCGTACTCTACAGGTGGGAGCAGGCCTCCGTAGATTGCAGATCGCAGATCGCAGATCGCAGGCAGCAACAGGTGGAGCCACTCCGTCTCTTCGCGACGAGCAGGCCTCCGTAGATCGCAGGCAGCAACAGGTGGAGACGCTCCGTCTCTTCGCGACGTCTCCGGGGGAAAAACACCTCAGCACAGCCGTACTCGACAGGTGGGAGTAGGCCTCCACAGATCGCAGACAACTAAAACTGCACATAGACACAGCCTAGCACTAAAATGGTGAAGTACGATGAGGTGTCTAACATCTTCGCCATCAAAGAACAAGTTAAAACCAAAGGACCTGTTTCAGCACATGAGACCATCTGCTGATGATTTCAAGTTATTCTGTGAACAACTCCACCAAAGTGAAGAACAAGAGACAAAGCCCAAGAAAAGTGCTATCCTGTCGGTCATTGAAGGCCATTCCCACAGATACACGCCAAAGACTGTACAACTGGATCTGCTAACTCCCCTTACCAGTCTGTATCAAAGCAGCAGACTTGTACTGGATTTGCCTGCACTGCTAGGAGGGTGCCAAAGTCTTTGAGGAGCTGAATCTCACACCAGAGCAGGTAAGAAACATAAATGGCTTACGGTAAAATAAAAGCGTGTCACAATGCTAAATCCTAAACATCACTAAATTCATTAAGAATAACTTCACTGCTTTCTGATAATTACAACTCTTTTGATAGTTTGTTAGTTGAGGAGAAGACCAGGAAACAGAGTAGGTCGAGGTTCTGGTTTGAGCAGAGAGCAGGGAGAGTTACTGCGTCATCCTTCCATGAGGCAGCCAAGACAGAGAGCTCTTCGTCTTTGATTAAAAGAGTTTGCTATCCTCGCTCCTCTCAGTTTTCCACTGAAGCGACCAGGTATATATACAGGGGTGCATATAACTGGTACGCCAACCGGCTGCGGAGGGAGACTCCCCCCCTTCACTGGATAACTGCGCTAAAACAGCTGATCACAACATTCACGCTCTGTGGTCACGAAGTACTCCACTAGCCCCCGCCCCCCCCCCCTGGTCGACTTTATTTTGCGGGGGGGCAGGGGGGTTCATTGCCCCCCCTAGTGGCTGAAATATGTTACAGCATTACTACGTCTAAAACTGTTCCAATACAAATATGTCGTATATCCAGGGGTGCACATCACTTTTTTGCCCTGGTTCTCAAAGGAGCACCTGGAGATGTTGCTTGGTGCTCATCCTTAAAATGAAATAAACCGTAACTTTTGAGGGGGTCTTGACTTTATTTGCCAGACACACGGCACTGAACACACATGCAGAGGTGAACACAGAACACACATGCAGAGGTGAACACAAGACAACATTAGCACGGCCAGTAATCCTACAAGCTGTCATCACTACCCTCCTGACTGTTCTCCTCACTGTCTTCCTCTCTGTCAGACATGGTAGCTGATGATGTAGGCCTACTTCTTTCTCTCTGGTTGAGTCTGCGATTAGCTGCTTGCATCCACAAGTCAACAGCTGGTTTTGGGTCGAAAGTCTCTGTTGTCATCTTAGACAAGTGGATGTAATCAAATAAGTATGTGAACATAACCAATAACCTACCATAGCCAATAACAAATTAATGTAGGCTAACTTATTTTATTTATGTTGTTCATTCATATATTATTTTACCAGTTAACATTTATTTATGCATTTTTTTTTATCTCCAGTTTTAAAGAATATGTTTGGTTACTGTCCTATAGTATACATTGGAATGATTTCAAACGTGTTTATCCCAATAATTATAAAGGAGTGCCTTGGAAATATGTGTTTACATCAATTGTGATCAAACCGTTTGAACTTAGACTAAAGTTAACTATCTAAACACTTAAGAGTCCTTACCTCACTGAGCTGTAGTTATCAGCCTCTCAGTCTGACTGGAGAGGACTCTCCCTCCACATTATTGTAGAAACATCTTCTTCTTATATCTGTTAGAGCAGCTAGCACCAGATTCTAATAACAACAGCACCGGTAACGGTGCACCCTCCCTCTCTCCCTTGCTCGCTCCCACGCTCACTCGCATTTTGGCTGTGAGCTGCGGGTGCCAGATAACTAAGCCAACATCCCCCATTTTCATCACTTAGACCAGGGGTTGGCAACCCGCGGCCCACGGGCCGCATGCGGCCCTTTAAGCCCTCTGCTCTGGCTCCCTTGAGCTTAGACAAAAATAAGAAGGAAATAAAATAAAAGTATTTGTAGGACTATTTATATTGTGTTGCATGGTTGAAAATGTTTCGTATCTTGTAATTTGATGTGATAATGTGATACATAAATAAAAAACAAAACAGTTTTAATTAGGTCAACTAAAATATGCGTCACATCCTGCTACGGTCCCGCGCGAGCGCCTTTTCTTGGAGGCGAATAACCTGACCCCCGGCTCGATGAGCGAACTATGGATAAATCAAAGAAAAGTACCGGAGGAACACAGGATTTAATTCTGTGTGGACAGAGTTATATGCTTTCACAGCAAACGATGCTGGTTTACCGGTATGTCTGATATGTAGAGAGAAGTTGTCAAAGGTGCTGCAGCCTTTACGTATCAAGGAACAACACGGGAGAGGAAGACAGCTGACGATCTTCAGTCATAATTCAATGGGGTATGTCATTTATTTCAGAAAACACTTTTTGTTATATTCCATGGAATGCTCTTAACGTCCCGATAGCAATGAATATATTAAATGCTTTGACAATAAATACATACAAAAATGTATCTCTGGAAGCCGTAGCGCTGTAAAAAGCACGACCAATCATCTGAGCCGGCCCGGCTAAAATAACTGGATGGCCTAACTGCCTGTCAGCCTTCCATCTGTGCACACATTTATCTCGTGCCCTCATTGGTCATGTGCGTGTTCGTGTGTGTTGGAGGAGGGACTCTGTAAGAAAGTCTGAAGGAAGAGGCATATTTTTTCCGGTTGTGTACTTTCAAATTCTAGCGCACTCGAGCTGGTTTCTCCATTCTTACCTACCCTACCTTTAACTCTTTTTAGGGTGCAGCTATATGTTATATTTATTTCAAAGTGGGCCCATTTTAATAATATTTGTTTTCCCTTCAAATGTGCAGACTCCCCAAGTGCTGTGTTTAATTTATTTTAAAGTAGGCCTGTGTATTATTTTTAATTCTCCTTATAAGAGTTCTTTGTTTCTTATTAGAGGTTAACAGTTTTATATCATGTAATAAATAGCCTAATAAATGCAAAAAAACTGTAGTTTTTGTCTGATATAACAATAAAAAACTATGCAATATGTTTTGCGGCTACAGACAAAAAAATGTTTTGGAAAAAGGAGCAAAATGGCTCTTTTGGTCAAAAAGGTTGCAGACCCCTGACTTAGACCTACAGCGCCCATCGTACAGGGCAAATGAAACGTGTAACCGGGATGAAAAGGGTGTTACATTTACTTAATTATGAATATTGTTACATCAAGGCCGAAAATTAGGATGAGCACCAACGGTAAAAAAAAGTGTTTTTCCCTCCCAGAGCTGTCAGCGCAGCGCCTCCACAGATCTGGCGCCCTAGGCGAACATCTATTACGCCAGCGCTACGGGCCGGCTCTGAGTTCATATCATTAGGAGCATTCACACTGCGGTACTTTTCCCACAAAGGTTCATGTGAACTTAGTTCATGTGAACTCTTTTATCGCGTTCACACCAAAAAGAGCCGGTACTAAAATTAGTTAATGTGAACCTTTTTACCCCCTCGAAAGTCCCTGCTAGAGAGCAGGGACTTTCGAGCGGCTCTTTTGTGAGAAAAGAGCTATATATATAAGATGTTATGATAAGTTTTACAGTTATGTAATGCAGTGGTTCTTAAACATTTTTCAATAATGTACCCCCTTTGAAAAAAAAAATTCAGCGCAAAAACAATTTGTTAAGGAAACAATGCTTATTTAAGGAGGTACAGTACAGTGCTGCACCATCGGTGTCTGTTTTGTTAATACAACAACATTGTAACTGAGATACACTTAACCTCTTAAACCCGGCCCCCCCGATACCGGGCGGAAAAACACGTCACTGCAGGAGACAGCGTCTGGCGGCTTCTTAATATTTAAAAACCTATGAATGTCTTATACTCAAATAACGGGAAAAAACTCAGCAACCTAATGATATGAGCCATTTTTACCGAAACAAAACACAAGTCTCACAAGAAGCGTTAGCATTAGCCCTTAGTGAAAACAGGCTGATGCTACTTCCGGTGCTAACTAGCAAAAACGATCTTTAAAACTTAATATTTTCTGCACAAACTACATATCAGCTGAAAGCTGATACTCCACAGATTATTTGTATATAAGTATTATCACTGTAGGACACAAACTCACTGAGCGAGCAGCCAGAACAGAGCAAGAAAACAACAACAGTGTTCTAAAGCATAACAATAATGATGTCTTACCGTTGCTGTTTTGTGATCAAAAGTCGTGTTCAAGGGAATAAAAACGCTGCTCAAGGTTAATCCAATGTCTCTTAGTCACTTTAGAATTGTTCCTGATAATCCATCATTACATTCATGGCCGCATCGTAGGTATAACGTTTTGCAGTCCGGGGTTTGGCTTTCTCACGTGCTGTTTACGCGAGCCTCTCTCTCCTTGAAGTAAGTGTTTAGCTGCGTTTACTAACTCCCCCTCGATTCTATTGGCTCCAACGTTTCAAAAAAGGTGTCAATCACCCAAATCGACCAATGGGTTCCAGAGATAGGATCCTGCGTAGTATGAATAATGCCAGCAGCGGCTGCTTTACGCACAGACGTAGCAGAAGCAGCCGCACAACCGCTCCAGCACAGCAGCAACGAACACAGCGAAGCGACAACACAGCGAACAGAGAACACAGAGACAACAGCAGGAAACCCTGATTATGAACTTCAGGAAAGGTATGTACTCTCTTTGTTTGTATCTATTAGTTGTGTATTTGGTGTAATCTATAGTAATTCCACACTCGCAAAATACAAAATGGACGCCGCTTTGTTGTTGTAGCGTTATCGTTCCGTGAGAAACTAAAACAATGGCAACATCATGTTGGTGAACGTATAAATAGATTAATTGTATTTCGTGACTATAACACGGCAGTATATAAATAAAGCTGTATTGTATATCAACCCAGTATATATATATATATATATATATCAGGGTTGCCAACTCTCACGCATCTGGCGTGTGACACACGCTTTCACTCTCAATCTCACGCTCTCACGCTGCCCAAACTATTCTCACGCCAAAAACAAGAATACCGAAGACTAGAAACGGTTTTGAAAACGTTTGTCACGTAGTGATCGTCTTCTCAATAGAACATCTTTGATAATGTCTTCTGGCCAATCAGAATCAAGATAACGGCGTGGTGTTGTTGCAGGAAGTCCCGACGGAGAATACTTTTGCTGTAGTACATCTCTATATACAACATTACGTGTTGATAGAAATCAACACTTAACGAAATAAGACCCCACGGTTTGATGATTGATAGGTGTGTGGGCTGTCTTTCATTTTGACACACAGAACAATGGGGGCTATCCAGCCTTATCCACAATGTAAAGTAATTCACAGCCTCTTCCCTCTTCTCTCAGTGAGGAGCAGCAGGTTCAGCTTTCAGAACAAAGTAACACAAAACTAAAATGGTATTCATTTTTTTTTTTTAAATATGTCGTGTAGTAATAGATGTATTTATTTTTCTTCTCAAGAGAGTACCAGAATGTGTATTTTGTTAGTATTTCAAAAGATCTCCTGGGGGAGAATCCCCCCAGACCCCCCTGCAGGGGTTGGGTTTTCAGCAAGTCAACTTTTTCACTTGTGGGGAAATTGCTGGATTGGCTCCAGATCCCTTTTCATTTACTACAAGACAAATGTGCCTTTTTATTTCATACAGTTCAATTTGGATTGAGACGGGGAAATAATCTAGACCTCACGCGTGGCTTTCACTGTCAAGGGGGCGTGTATGTAATTACATTGCAAATACTGACTTGAGCCCCACCACTGTATGGGTTAGCCCTACCATGGATTACCCAACAAAAATACTCTGGAGCCGCCACTGCCGACTCGTATTGCGCATGCGCAGATCTAAGATCCAGTAGAAATGATAAAAAAATAAATAAAAAAATGATAAAAAATATTGTTGGCACCGTTGTATCATTTTAGAGCACTGACATAATGATAATATTTAATAATAATTCAAGTACATACTTTCAAACTGCTAGTCACATCCTCATGTAAATGGCAATTTATCGAGGTAATTTTTATTTATCGTACGATAAGTCAATTAATTGCTTAGACAATAAAACAGTGGAAACAAACATGTGTTTGACTTTCATTAGTGAATGAAACTGTGTGTCCTTTATAGTCTGTGTCCAATATTATGTATTTGTATATATTGTATGTATATCCTATATATATGCTAAGGTCCTGCTACTGACACGCTAGCAGTCATTTTGTGCGCATATGTGTAATTAAACCCATGATATCAAAATCTCACTCCAGGCAGGTACCCAAAGTTGGCAACCCTGATATATATATATATATATACTGTTATTCCACACTAGCCAAATGGATGCTGTTTTGTAGTTCTACAGACATTGACTAACAGCAGTTTATAAATAAAGCTGTATTGTATATCAGTCTATATATATACTATAGCGTGTGTAAAATAATAGTATACATAATATGTATACTGTTATTTTACACACGCTATAGTATATATATATGATATATATATATACTATAGCGTGTGTGAAATAACAGTATACACATATATATATATATATGTAGGCTATACGGTTATTTCACACACGCTATAGTATATATATATGAAATAACAGTATACACACATATATATGTATACTGTTATTTCACACACGCTAAATGGAGGAATTATTTCTGATTTGAGTTACATTTTTGAAAGAATAAGCCAGTGAAGTAATCAAAGTAATTGTTTTTTCCACATTTGTTTTCACAGTGATGAAGACGAGTATCAAATGGCTTCTGGATCACAGCCATCAACATCTGCCTCATCCGAGCTACGACGTGCATCAGATCAGCATACAGTTGCCCCAGAGCCATCAACATCCAAGCTACGCCGCCAGACGTCTGCACCAGTACTAACTCAGCCTCCCTCTGCATCTTCTGATTCAGTGGACAGACTGTCAGGAGGAAAGTGAAACGGGCTGGTGTGTGGAAGACTAAGGTTGTTACCGTTCCTGACACTGTGATGGACTACAACAGAAGCATGGGCTGCGTGGATGTGTCCGATGCTTTGATTGGGTACTACAGTGTTCACCACAAAACCATGAAATGGTACAAGACCTTTTTTTTTACCATTTTCTAGACATTGCAGTGGTGAACAGCTTCCTTCTCCACAAGGAGCTGCACAAGATGAGGGGTGACCCCGGCAGGACGAAGCCACACACCCAGAAGTCCTTCAGGGAGCAGCTTGCTGCAGACATGAGGGGTGAAGTCCCCTGCAGCAGCACCACCACCACCACCACCACTCCCCCCCATTATCACTCGTATGCATTCCCAAGTATTATGGGGAAGATGCCACCGCGCTCAGGAGGTGCTCTGATGCTGGCAACACAACGGTGAAGACCTATCTACTGCACTAAGTGCCTGGTGCCTCAATTCAAAAACACTAAACACATTCAGGTTGTGTACATTTTTTCTTTTTTGCCAGTATTTACAAAAAAAATGCTTGTGGTGGTATTTTGGTTTTAGTGTCGTTGTTTTGTGTTATTTTTGAAATAAATCTGCTCAAGACAAGAGACAAGTGTTTCCTAATTGTTATTGTGTAAGTAAACCTTCCTAGAAGTGTTAGTCGGGTGATAAACATGTAAGGGCTGTGGCAAAGTCCACACACAGACACACACACACACCATTTACATACAAAAAAAATGTATTTTAAAAAAAAAAAACACTTGTATTTGGATGGAATGATTACGTGTAGTGATAATAAAATGATTTTTACAGTATGGTACCTGAAAAAGGTCAAATGGCACTGATGGTATCCAAATGTGCCCAAATGTGCCCAAAGGTCAGTCCGCCTGGACTACTTTTAGCTAAACCTCTCTAAATAGGTCAAATTTAACTTGTTTTGCCTCAATCTTGATACAGGGTACTTATTATATGTTATACTTTGGATTCCTAAAGCTTTTAGTCTACTATCCCATCATTCAAGGGTAGTTTTCACTATAAGTAATGTTTTTTTTTTAGGCGGGGGTAAGAATTTACCTTTTTTTACTATGTTCCATCTGAATTTACTCTGACTGAGAAATATCTATATTGATTCTGACACTTCTACATCCAACTCACAGATGTAACCTTGCTTTGAAAAAAGAAATTATTCATATAACCCTTTTAGAAGTTAAGTTATAGTCATTTGTTTTGGGCATAGCATTTTCGAGCCTGAAACCTTAAAAACAGGGTCAGGGCTTAAGAGGTTAAATGCTACATTTCAAATCTTTACAATCCATCACTAAATTCATGGCAAACCAATTTCAACATCATGCAATAACGTTGGGTTACGTATTGTAACCCTTGTTATATTAGCACAGGCGGAGCCCTCTACTGGACTCTATGGGTACTACCTTACCCTGCAAGCATTCTCCCACTGAGACTTCTATAGACGTAGCCGGCCTTGGGCGGACCTACCTGAATGCGCGTGCATAACACCGTATAAAAGGAGGCCTCGCCTCCTGACTATCATCCTACACCTCTCTTCAGCGAGCGGAATAGGACAGACAGTGCCCTGAGTAGAGGCCTGTGCTAATATAACAAGGATTACAATACGTAACCCAACGTTATATCTCTAACAGGCTCCGCCCTCTACTGGACTCTATGGGTACAGTGGGTGGAGCCGCGATTTATACGTGCACTGTCGTCCAACAACAACATTCCACCCTACTGCCCCTGACCGGCTTTTATGGTCAGCAGCTGCTGCCCCACATTCTCCTTTAACCCGGTTATAACCGAGGAGAAATCTGGGCTGTGGCTGACAGAGCACACCCTGCTGCGCTTACCTCGCAGAAAGTGTGCTCAAAAAACAGTGCCGGTGGACCCCCCCCCCCCACAGACGGATCGGGAGAGCCCCCTCGGCCCCGAATGGGCTTACTACACGCCTGCCTCCCTGAATCCCTAAGGAAAACAGGGAGAGCGCCAGAGCCCATGCCCCACACTCAAACACTGACCCCGTGCAGAGTGTTTGGACTAAAGTGTGGAGGGCTACCCCCCTCCTGGAGGAGAGCAGCCCTCCAGACCTGTAAGGGCCCAGCCCATCCCGGGACCCCCAGAGGGCTCGAGAACAGCGAAGGCGCATTACGTCCGGGGAGGGGGTCAGATGCCAACTGATCCCACAACCCCCCCCCCCCTACCAGTCCTGTGTTGCCCCCGCAAGCACAGACGAGGAGAAAGAGCCCGACATGTCCAAGAGATAAAACCTTATGAAGGGGCCTGGCGTCGACCAAGACGCCGCTGTGCATATATCCTCCACACTCACACCGTTGAATAAGAAAAAAGCCCATGGTGGTCCCATACACAGAAAGCAGAAGGGGTGTGGATCCGCCTCCGCGATCAGGTTTGGACATTTCGGGCAGGTCCTGTGGTCAAGAACTGACTCCATTACTCTCTATTTTTCTCGTCTTTTTAAGCTCCGTGGAATCACTTCCGCTGCTGAAGAGAAAAGGATGATAGTCAGGAGGCGAGGCCTCCTTTTATACGGTGTGATGCACGCGCATTCAGGTAAGCCCGCCCAAGGTCGGCTACGTCCAGTGGCGGCTGGTGGAAAATATTTTTGGTGAGGCTGTTGATATAGTGAGTAAAACATTTTTTTTTGGGAGAAATGACCCCTTAAATTAGGACTTCTGGCGATGTAATGGCGCGTTTCCAGTGCAGCGCG